GGGGGGGGGGGAGTTGGTGAGATTGGGACAATTTTGAGAAGCTTCTAATTTAATATCTCCCTCCTTTCTTATCTAGAACTCCCCAAGGAACTGGTCTCACCAAGGTCAAAACTCATTCAAGATTCAAAAAATAGCAGAGGGAAGGTAATGAAATAAATAAAGCCTACTTAACTTCTCTCTCTTCTCACAAGTAAGGCCACCAGCAACAGGCCACCAGCCTTCTCTGGTTTCAGCATCTGTTCCCCAAAAGGATCTCCTGACCAGGAGATGGTTTCTTTCAAAATTAAACATTCCAAAGGTGACAAGATCCCAACCCAAGCGCTCAAAGTATTGTTGCTTGATTTCTTAGTGGTCTCATGCAGGCTTTTTGTATGACCACATACAAGGAGCCTGTGCGGAGAAGTCAAGGGACCACAGGGAAAGAGAATTGTGTTTCAAAGCATTCAGAACTCTCCAGGACACCTAGCCTTGGATCTCTAACCCTCCCACCCTCCCAGGAAGAGGGACTGACGGTTCTTCTTCATTGGGCAAGATACATTTAGTCTGCTAAAACTTAATTCGGCAGTTCCATACCATCCACAACGACAAAAAAAAAAAAAAAAGTTTCATCTCTTTTTCTGATTCTAACACATTCCTTCATTTCCTTTGTCTCATTACACTGGCGGAATGGAATGTCTCTTTGTAGGTAAAATCAACCAAGTCATCACCATAATACTTTCTTCCTAGAGCAAAAAGAGGAAGACCTTACCACAAGTCCAAAAAGTGGTGGTCGAGAACCGAAGAAATGATGCCCCGACATATAATTCGGGCATCATGGACACTGAGTCAGGCCCTTTAGGAAGAAGCAAACGGTGAGCTCCGGGGAGCACGGGCGGCGGGCGCCGGCGGAGGGGCCCTGGCCCTCCCAGCAACACGGGGCCGTGCACCGGCTGCCAGGCTCGCGGGGCTTTCGCCTGGTTTGTCTGGCCTGAGCCTCGCGCCGTCTGAAAATCACTCGCAGGAGCGACATCTAAGAAAGAGGTACGGGTATTTCTCACCCCGGAGCAACACAACGCCCCGGGGAGCATCAGGCAGGCACTGGACGCGGTTCAGCGCTGCGGATCCGCGGAGCCCGGGGCTCCGGTCAGAGAAGCTAGTTTCCCGCTACCCTGCGGGCCGTCCCCCGAGCGTGGCGCTCCCAGACCTCCCCCCCGAGGCCGTCCCCCCGACCTCGGCGCCAGCCTCCGAGGCTCCGCGGGAGGCCGGTCAGGACGCTCGAGCGATGATCAAGTGATGCTCCGCGGGTATCCCAG